GGTCGGTTGGTCCGGATGGCAGGATGGCACGACGGTCGGGTGGAGCGGTGAAGCTCGACCATCGTATGGTGGGGTGTCGCGTTGAAGCCCGACCATCGGATGGGAGGATGGCAGGATGGGAGGATGGGAGGATGGGAGGATGGGAGGATGGGAGGATGGGAGGATGGGAGGATGGGAGGATGGTCGGGTGGTGGGATGGCTGGATGGTCGGCTGGCAGGATGGCGGGACGGGCAGGTTGGCGGGATGCCGGGATAGGAGGATGTTCGGATGGCGGGATGCCAAGATAGGAGGATGTTCGGATGGCAGGATGGCAGGATGACAGGACGGTCCGACCGCCGGATGGCAGGACGGTGGTTCAGGGTCTAGGGTTCAGGGTTCAAGGTCGGGTCCGACTCCCTGGATGGTGTAGGGTTTAGGGTTCTGGGCGGGTCGCAGGATGGCAGGATGGTCGGATGGTCGGATGGCAGGATGGCAGGGTTGCAGGATGCCAGGACGGCACGACGGTCAGGTGGAGCGGTTAAGCTCGACCATCGTATGGTGGGGTGTCGCGTTGAAGTCCGACCATCGGATGGGAGGATGGGAGGATGGGAGGATGGTCGGGTGGTGGGATGGCAGGATGGGAGAATGGCAGGATGGCGGAATGGCAAGATCGGAGGATGGTCGGGCGACAGGATGGCAGGATGGCAGGGTTGCAGGATGCCAGGATGGCACAATGGTCGGGTGGGGCGGTGAAGCTCGACCATCGTATGGTGGAGTGTCGCGTCGAAGCTCGACCATCGGATGGTGGGGTGTCACGTTGAAGCCCCGCCATCGGATAGTAGGGTGTAACGTTGAAGCCCGACCATCGGATGGCGCGGTGATGTTTGGATGGCAGGACTGCAGGATGGTAGGGCGTTCGGATGGCATGACGGTCGGTTGGTCCGGTGGCGGGCAGGCAGGAAGGTTGGATGGTCGGGTGTTCGAATGATAGGACTGCAGGATGGTCAGGCGCTCGGATGGCAGGACGGTGGGGTGGTCGGATGGCAGGACGGTCGGTTGGTCCGGATCGGAGGATGGCACGTCGGTCGGGTGGAGCGGTGAAGCTCGACCATTGTACGGTGGGGTGTCGCGTTGAAGCCCGACCATCGGATGGGAGGATGGCAGGATGGGAGAATGGGAGGATGGGAGGATGGGAGGATGGTCGGGTGGTGGGATGGCTGGATGGGAGGATGGCAAGATGGCGGAATGGCAAGATCGAAGGACGGTCGGGCGGCAGGATGGCAGGATGGCAGGATGGCGCGACGGTCGGATGGAGCGGTGAAGCTCGGCCATCGTATGGTGGAGTGTCGCGTCGAAGCCCGACCATCGGATGGTGGGGTGTCGCGTTGAAGCCCCACCATCGGATAGTAGGGTGTCGCGTTGAAGCCCGACCATCGGATGGCGCGGCTCGACGATAGTGTGATGTTTGGATGGCAGGACTGCAGGATGGTAGGGCGCTCGGATGGTAGGACTGCAGGATGGTAAGGCGCTCGGATGGCAGGACGATAGGGTGGTCGGATGGCATGATGGTCGTTTGGTCCGGTGGCGGGCAGGCAGGAAGGTTGGATGGTCGGGTGTTCGAATGACCGGACTGCAGGATGGTCGGGCGCTCGGATGGCAGGACGGTGGGGTGGTCGGATGGCAGGATGGTCGGTTGGTCCGGATGGCAGGATGGCACGACGGTCGGGTGGAGCGGTGAAGCTCGACCATCGTATGGTGGGTTGTCGCGTTGAAGCCCGACCATCGGATGGGAGGATGGTGGGATGGGAGGATGGGAGGATGGGAGGATGGGAGGATGGGAGGATGGGAGGATGGGAGGGTGGTGGGATGGCAGGATGGGAGGATTGCAGGATGGCGGGATCGGAGGATGGTCGGGGGGTAGGATGGCAGGATGGCAGGGTTGCAGGATGGCAGGATGGTCGCGTGTCGTGTCTGCGATTGACCGTTAGGTAGGCGGCTGTTGTGCCGCAGCTAGACCAGGGGGTGGTCGTGTGCAAGAGCTAGATATTCGAGTGGCCCTATGTCGTGCCGGACACTGGCCATCAAATAGGGGGGGGGAGGGGGGGGGGYCGTGCGGACACTGGATCATCAGATGGCCGGGCGTGGTGGCTGCAGTTGACCGTTAGACGGGCGGGTGTCATACCAAAGCAGGAACATAACATAGCAGGGTCTTGTGCCAACTACGGGTATGATTGCCGCTTTCTTACTCCTTTCGTGCTTTCGTTTATAATTGCCTTGCAGAAACTATGCACACTCCAGCGACGAGAGCAGATCCCCTTCACTATACGGGGGAAGTTGCAAGCGCAGGTCATCGGCGTTGTCCGTGCGAAGTCCTCGTAGAAAGCCACAACTTTCCCGAGGGTGTGTTCCCGCATCCGACAACGTAGTTCGACGATTGAACCTCGACAACATTATTAAAGAGCTTCGTCAAACCCGCGCCGCTCCGCCTTCGGCTGACCTGAACGCAGAATGCACACTGCATTGCAAAACTGAATCGCCATAGATTGTTGCAAGAGACGCATCGGAAACGGTATGACATATGGTCGGCCGAATCTAGGTTCATGAGAGAAAAAAACTTGTGCATCATAATTGATGGTATGGACCAAGCAAAAACTTCCATTCCTCACACAACTAGGAACCGCACATCAAAGGCAATAGATAATCGCACAATGATGAAAACAAACCTCACGGGCATTCTCGTGCATGGGAGGAGTCCACACATTCTTGTGCACACATGGTTTCCTTTGTTCCCCCATGGTTCGGATTCGATTGTGTCTTCGATCGCAAAGGTGTTGAGAGACGTGCAGAGGCAGTCGGGAGTGTTGCCTCCTGTTTTCAGACTCCAAGCGGACAACTGCGGTAGTCAAAACAAAAACAGATATGTGTTCGCGTACCTAGCATTATTTGTGAAGTTCCGCATTTTCGAGGTTGTTGAAATGGGATTTATGATAGTGGGTCACACGCATATAGACATCGATGCAAAGTTCAGCTTATTTGCTAGAAAACTAGCGGACATGGATACTTACACGATAGACAAGTTGTTCGCCGCACTTAGAAATTCCACAAAGGATGAGGTCGATTTCACGTTTATCAATGAGATGGCGGATTGGAAAGGTGCAGTCAAAGACTTCCTCGACATGCGTATTGGTGGCCACTCCACTCCGCACTTGTTTAAGTTTTATATGGACGGAGACAACCCTGCGATGGTCTACAAAGAACATTGCAATGACAGTGAATGGTTGTCGGAGGGCGGAGCAATTTATTGGTTCAAGCGGGATGGATATGGGAGATGGGCGGGGCCGTCTTTTCTGTTGGAACCGTGTGGCTTGAAGTTGAACTCAGACAATGGAGACTTTGTCAAAGGTCGCCAAGGTGTGAGTGCCTTGGTCGAGGAGTGGAAAGACGAGCGGCTAGAATTCTAGAAACACAAAGATTGGAAACATCAGTTGAAAACAAGTCGTCTGAACTACTAGGAGAAAAAGTTAGACATGTTCAATAAGCTGGAACAGGAAAAAACCTCACAACCCGCTCCGTTGTCAACTCTGTTCTGGCCAACGCCGATGACGGGAAGCATAAAAGAGGTGAAGATGGAACTTCCTATTGTTGATTCGCCGCCGAGGAAACAATGTTTTGTAGGTTATAAGAGTGATGCCCTGAAACCGGAGTTCAAGCCGGCAAAGCATGTTGATATCGGTTCTTTCGTAGTGATGCGAGCTCCAGACGAGAATGCGGACAAAGGAGTTAGTTTTTGGGTAGGACGTATGCAAGAGAAATCTGAGAACTCATAGCAAATTCTCGTAGAGTATTGGAGGTCACAGGTCAAAGAGACCGGTATGTGTAAGTTGTACGAAGACGCGACTAAGAGCAAATTCTCGTAGAGTATTGGAGGCCACAGGGCAAAGAGACCGGTATGTGTAAGTTGTACGAAGACGCGTGGAACAAAACATGGCGATATGAGAACGAATCTTCGCCTGGATGGCAAAACATAACATGTGTGGCATGGGGATGGAAAAGCGAAAAGAAAGGTAAAACTGGATTAAAAATCAGGAAGAGCAACGCATTGAAGGCAATCAAATCGTTGGCAGCAATAGATCACGCACGCTGAATGCACATAATGACTACTGCATCATCTTACATATATGCCATTTGTTTCTTCGGAACAGCGAAATCGTTGCAACCCCGATGGAGTTGGGCATCGAACAAGCATGACGTCGCCAAGCGGATAAGTGGGGGAAGGTGATTCAGTATGATGACCTTATACCTTACCGAGCAAGGCCAAGGATGACCGCTATCGGCCTGCAGTCAATGGACGAATCCATGTTTTACCCGACAATGAAATTCTGAACGTTGTAGATGCAACGAAAACTTTTCAAACTGGCTAACACATGCGAACCTGCCGTGATGTATAAGAAGGAGGGAAGCCATCCCCCTCGCATGGTACCAAATTCTTAGACAAGGCCCCTCCCTAAAAGAGGGAGACTGGGTAGCAAGCACAGAGCACCCACAACGGGTGGGACTGATACATATGACCTCACCCCAAACTGTTTTAATTGAATACTACGAAATTGCTAGAACAGATTTCCTCCAAGAGAGTAAAGCCCCCTTCGAATGAAAGGAAAAAACTGTTGTCCACAAGGTCAGAGTTCTTGAGGAGAAAGGTCAGAAGAAGATTTTCCAGCCTGCCAAATCAATACAGGATTTGGCCTTGGACCCCGCAGAATGGTCATGGGACCTCTCCCCAAGAAGAGAGGGCCCCAAAGGGAGAAGTATCAGCCTTCACCAGCTGTCGACCAAATCGGCTTACAAAATGCTCAGACCCAAAAGACGGCTTAGAGACGTTGTGATTGACCGTTGGGTTACACATCTGAATGTGGACCGCTCTCTGTTATCCCCAATTAAGTGGTTCCAAGCATAAAAGACAAAACCCATGAAAATCATTTCCCTACAGTGGCAGATTGCCCACCGCTGCTTGCCGACAAACGATTGGCTAATCGACCGAACGAATTTAGAAGAAAAGGGTCTGCTACTCCCATGGTGCCGCAGATGCCAGAGCCTCTTCCCGTTTTATAAAAAAGCGGAAACTATCGAGCACATCTTCATGCAATGTCCGATTGCTCAATTCACGTGGCGATGGTGGGATTGCATTTGGAGAAAGATGGGCTCCGCGATTCCGTGGCCTTGGTCTTGGCGAGCCATTTTGACTGGCCACTGGACTCAGGCAGAAGCTGCCTCGACCTTCATGGAAAACATGTTTAGACTTGGGAGGAGAGCAGTAATGTGGGCACTTTGGTGGCAGAGATGTGTGCTGGCCCGGAAAAATGTGAGAGTAGAGGAGACGGAAATTTTCGAACAGATCCAGCAACAGATATATTTCGAACTTACACAAAGATGGCAAGACACAAATGTACAGCTAGATCAGTTTAAACAACGAAGTGACATCAGGAGACGGATCACAGCATTCTGCACGGACTGGGTAGGCGGGGAGAGAGAAGGATGGATAGCAAAAGTCGAATGGAGCGGAGACAAGAGGGAAGAACCAAAAGAGCTAATGGAAATAGAAGAGATTAGGGATTACCGCCTAATCTTCAACGATTGGACTAATATTGAACCCTTTTTCCCCCTCCGCCCCCCTGAGGATTTTCCAGACCCTTTCCCTCCCCATGCCCTCTCCTTGACAGAACTCCTGACCTGATTTGTACTTCCCCCATCTTATTCCCCTCACATCTTTACTCCCTTGCTTAAAAGAGGACCCCCCCCCTGGAACCCCCCGGGGAGGCCGGTCTCTCTCTTCATTCTTAACTGCAGCTCCTACAACAAAGAACAGGGAGAGGGGGGCTGGTAAGTGGCAGAAGACATCTGGCGCCAGCTGCAGGGTGCAGAGGCCCCTTTTTACTTCCTATATCTTGCTTAGTGAATGTATTTCAATGTATTTCAAAAGGGACGCTGGACCCGGTTTCCAGCAGGCGAGAGAGAGCCAGTATGTAGCAGCAAGAATCTGGTGCCAGAATGAGGGGGAAGAGGTTCCCCCCCTGCGCAGTCAATCCCCTGGCGACCAGGGCAATCAATGCTGGCAGGTTCCTCATACATTCCTTTCGTTGTATTCCAGTTGTATCATGCTCATGATGGGACGCTGGACCCGTTTTCCAGCAGGTGATGCTCCCCACCAATAGATGGAGCCTTTCCCCAGGTGCTAGTGGAGTTGCTCTTATCAACATCACTAGCACTGGAGGGATTCATTCTTAAAAAAAAAAAAAAAAAAAAAAAAAAAAAGCTACCTTCTTACCGCGAAAAACCTCACGTACATTGTATATGTTGTATACGAATACAACGTACGGGGTACATTGTATTCAAATACTTGCATACGTTGTGCAATGAATTTTGAGGTACAACTTTTCTAGGGCGGCCCTTTACCCAGTACGTTGTTTTCGGGCAGATCATGTTGTTATGGGTCTCGTTCGACACCACTTGAACTCAAGGGTTGAAGGAGATTTTTCGTTTGACCCCACCCTAACCTGGCCATGGAGTTGTTTCTACTTTCCTGCACTCTAGTGCTAGCCCTCGAAACTCAAGTGCCGCCGGGGCAAATTCGCACTTGAGCTCAAGCTACCTCTCTGGGGAGCCTTGAGTTCAAGTGCGAGGGGACGGCGGCTCCGACATCGGTGGCGATAATTTTTTATTTTATTTTTTTTTGTGGACTGTTCCAGGTCTACCGGTTGGTCCAGCTGTCCGACAGGCCTCTCAACAGCTCGTTGGCAGTGGTACCATCCGCGTTGGAGTGTGGCTTGTGCTGGGGGGGGCGGGGGGGAGAAATGGCCGTTGAGCGGACTGGCCGTTGGAGGCGGGCAGTGGGCTGGCGTGCAGCGGGGGTGGAGGGTGGGAGGGTGTCTGGTCGGGGCAGTTCAAATTTGAACGGTGGTGGTGGACTCCATTCCCTGCGTTTGTATGTGCGTGTGATGTTGTACTTCACATGCGCGACAAGCGTCTTGTAATTTATGGCGTTGTGCACCAACGTCGTGGTCTTCGTCGCCTTCAGAGCACGCTTGACGTCTTCCTAGGTTGCCATCGTATCCGTGACGTCCGGTTTCATGGCAGACCATCTTGGGAAGATTGTCGTTTTGTGTGTCGTCTTGCTGGTCCTTGTGGTCATCGTCCTCTTGCACCTGTCTGGTTTGCTGCGCGGCCGTGCGAGGACAAAAAAGCGGAGGTTGCCGAACACGACATCGCATAGGAAGCCGACAACAATCATGGCAGGTGTGAACGGCCATGAGAGGTACACGTATGGCATGGGAGCAGGGCCGATGTTCGGTGATGGGAACGAAGCCCCACCCCGGTTCGACCCCAGTCTTTATGCCCATCTGCTACCCCATCACCAGCCGCTGCCTGATGACGACACTTGGGCGCCCCCCTTTGCCACGTTGCCATTAGCGTACGGATCCACGCAGTCAATGTCGGAGGGTGCACGGACAGTGATGCGGGGTGCAGCCAGCGAAGGAGCGATGGAATCACTCCTGTATTCTGACGGCCGACATGGGATGTGCCCGCCGTTGGATCTTCAATTATCCTCTGGGGGCCAAAGAGCAGCCACGCACACTGTTCTCGTCGATCACCCCAGCCAATCCACCGGTGACCCATCGGTTGGTGTGCAGGGTGGTCGCGGCAGTCGTAGCCATGCGAGCCATGCAGGACAGGCTACGACTGCGTACAGAGGCGGCTGTGGCCAGCAGTCGGAGTTTAGTCCAGCAGTCGGGGGTCCATCAGGTGCGGTTGTGGGGGTGCAACGGACCGGGCGATCAGAGAGCTTGCCATCAACGACGCGCTGTGTGGAAAGAATCATTGCTCGGGTTTCGACGATGCGGGCAACGAGTGACGGGGAGCGTGACACAGAAGGTGACGACTACGGAGATGGTGCGGTCGATGGAGACGACGTGGATGACGTGGAAGGCGACATAGAGGACGAGCCGTCCTTGCAACCCGGTGCTCGAAACACAGGAGGTGGAGCACGAACTGGGCCGGGAGGGGTAGAGGAAAGGGAAACGCGAAGGTGGTCGGTGCGGATAGAGGAGGCGGGACAAGTGTCGGCCACACCTATTGGAGTCTGGACGAGTCCCTTGTCCTAGTGCGGTGCAAGAGGGATTACGACGAGGCGATGGCAGCCGCAGGGTCTAATTTTGCTAGAATGAAAAACAAGGAATGGAAGTGGACGGACATCGCCAAAAGGATGTCCGCACAAGGGGTGGTGAAGGAGTGGGATACGTGTATGAAGCATTGGGAGAGTGTGATTGGGTGGTACAAGAAAGTTTTTGATAGGGAGAAGGATTCAGATATGCAGTTTTTTTTTATACTCACTCCTAAACAACGGGCTGACAAAGGATGCACGTTCCAGATGGACCGGCAATTGTATCAAGGGATCGCTGCAATGTAGAGCAAAAGCCAAACGACCAATCCTCTGAACCTCGTCGACAGCGGGATGTCACAGCAACAAGGGGGTGGGGGGGTCAAAGGTGGGGAAACTTCCGCAAGTGACAATTGCAAAGGCGATGTTGGGGATGGCAGTGAACATGTCAGCGAAACCGTCGGTGCGAAGATGGCGAAGAGGAAGAGTGCGCGACAGAATGTGTTTGAAGTTGTGACGGACGTCATGCAGTCCCACTCGAAAGTCGTCGCCGATTCTGTGGACAGGGCGAGCAAAAGGTAGTGCGATGTGCTACAGCGGCAGTGGGACATTATGGAGAGGGAGCCTCAGGGAGGTGAGAGCGCAGGAGACACAGTGCCAGGTTTGGGATTCCGGACAGCGGATGCTGTGTGACGCGCTGTTGAAAATAGCGCAAGCTCTTTGCAAGGATTAAGCGTGGCCTTCGCTACGGTTATTTGGGTGATGGTGCACGAGGGGGCTGGAATGGCTAGGTCGAGGGGGTTTCATTCTAGGGTTGGTGGGGCGGCAGGGGGGTTGTGATGGTTGTCACATCTCGCAAGTCCAGGGAATTTGGTGCAAACACATTGTCAGTGTCGACCGGATGGAGTTCAGTTAAGCAAACCGCCAACTGAGCACTCCGTGGATGTGCGAGAAGTGACACGATGGCGTTCTGATCTTCTCCTTCCACAGCGACGCAGGGTCCAACGTGCAACTTTCGTCGTGTCACTCTCGGTTGTTGCGTTTGTTTGTGGAATTGTTTTTTTATTGCTTTTATTTCACCTTTTTTTTTCGTGACGACGGGTATCGTCGTATGTGATATAAGCTCGTCACGTGCAGGGGTTGTGGAGAGAGTTCTCCCGACACGAGTGGGTTTTGTTGCGTGGCGACGCTGAGTGGTGGCCCGTCACTTGCACAGATTGCGGAAGCTCATGCGATAGGTTCGTGGAGAGAGAGAGAGAGAGAGAGAGAGAGAGAGAGAGAGAGAGAGAGAGAGAGAGAGAGAGAGAGAGAGAGAGAG